CTGATTTGATTAATACACATTGTATTCTGTACCAAAATATCACATGTACCCTACTAAAAAAACCCAATAGCTTACTATACATATACCTTGGATAAATTTATATCATTTAATTTAAACAATGTTTTTATATTTAAAAAAACACATTTTTAAAGAGGTAATTAGTGACAACTGAAAAAAAAAAACCAAAAAAGTAGCCCTCAAAGTCTCAGCTCCACTGCATAGAACATTCAAATACTGTGAATCTTTCAGATAAAGTTCCAGCAGTAAACAGTAGCCTGACCTGTGTCACTGATACAGTCGTCTTAGTTTCTCCTTCTGTAAAATGGTGATAATAATAATAAACTGTCCCCCTTCCTTCACCAGGGATGTTAACAGGATAAAAGACATTATAGATATGAAAGTTGTTTGAACTCTCTGGAACAAACTCTATAAATCCAAGGTATTATTACAACTAAGGTGGTAAAAATAGCTTGCATCACTGAAAGGAATGCCTAGAATTTGACTAAAATATGCCTGACATCCCACAACTAAAAAGGAGGTTTAGCCAAAGATACCTGGTGCTGGCAATCTCTGTGGATAAACAAAAAATGTGCTCTGATGACATACTTAAAAAAAAAAAAAAAAAAAAAAAAAAACCTCCTACTGTAGAAAAAAAAAAAGGTCTAACAATTATGGGAAAAAAGCAAACTACTACTATAAATCTAATACTATATAATCTACTCTAGATCCCAGTTTGGCAAACCAAGGAACTATACCTACAGAAAAATTTTCGGAGTAGGATGTTTGTTCTTCTACCAGGATAAAACATTTCCTTATACTCGTATACAAGAATAAAACATATTTACCACAAAACTGACAGCCCTTAAGCATTTTTTTTAACATCTTTATCCTCGTCTGACTTAGTGTATTTACAAATGCTGCACTCATCTGCAGCTGTGTGAATACATACCCAAATTTCCTCCAGGGTACATATCAACCTACTGATCCATTAAACTGTCAGTATTTCACATTATATCAACAGTCCAAAGGAAAAACTCTTCTTCAGCCAAGGGTAAGTAGGGCTGGTAAAATAAAGACGCTTCTCTTCACTATTCATCTCCAATAAATTCCAAGTAACAGAAAGAACAACCAAAACTAAAACTCAGCGCTTTATTTATATAAAGTCTAAAAAAAAGTTGTTATGATGACAAATACAAAGTCTCGGAATTTTCCTCCAGCTGATGTGTCAGAGAGATAAGCCTGGTACTCCACAAACGCAGCAATTCATCTGTAAATACCTTCTCACCTATTTTACGTACATAGCAAAATAAATGCAAGTCTTAACTGTGGATTTATGAAATTTATCCCAGTGCCAATAACACATCAGCCATACCCTTTCGGAACTTAACGTAACAAGACTTTCTTTTCCACAAACATCCCTACTTTGTTTCTATTCTAGAGTTTCTTAATGACTCTGAATACTGCTGACAGTATAAAACAGAATTATTCAAGGTCGGGGATTTCATCCCCTACCAATCTGATAGTGTCACATACTTATTAAATGTTTCATGAGCGGCTGAAATGCAACAAGTGTGTTTTATTTGTTTTGCTAAATGTTTCAGTCAAAAGTAGCATGTAAAAACCTTAATCATGCCCAATCTGTCAATAAGAAAACACTTTGTGGATGCATATCAACAGAAATTCTAAAATTTTAATATAGATCTAGAAGAATCACATGCCCTAGCTGAAAAGGCAGAATTGTATATATGCCGTCAAGCTGAAGTCAAAGTTACGACATAACGACATAAAGATGTAAACTTCAGCATGAGTCACCAAATCTGATGGGACAACAGTTGGCTGTCCTAATGGTTAGAAGCACTTTACTGAGACTGCCTTAGTTAAACTACATTAGCCAGGTGGCCTTGGGCAAATGACCCAACATCTCTATGCTCAAATGTCCTCATCTATAAAATGAGCACTGTAACAGTACCTAACTTATAGTTGTTGTGAGGATAAAGAACAAAAACATGTAAAGCACTCAGAATTGTACCAGGCACACAGTAAGCTCTCAGTAAATGCCAGAGTACATTTCTGGCATGGTTAACTGAAAAATTAACTAGGCTGTGAGATATATTACTTTGGTTCTAGTACCAACCCGACCACAACCTAGCACATTACTTTGGACCTTAATCTACATATATAGACTTCAGTTTTCTTATTTTCTAAATAAATAGACTGGAAAAAATGACTTTTAGATTCCCAAAGCCCTCTAAACAGTATAACCGTATTACATGGCATCACCTACTTCAGCCAAAATGTTGAGATCAGAATCAGTTATTAGACAGGCCATCTCAATAATCTGGTCCTTCTCAATGTCCAATCCTGTCATCTGCAATAAAAATAAATAGATAATACACACAAAACCACCTTTCTGGCCTATTTTACCCAAGTTTATTTAACAGGAATTCCCTCAAGCATATTCAGTTTATATCCCATAGCCAAAATAGAAGAGACAATAATGCTCCTTGGGCAACTACTCAAAGTATTAATACTAAACTTGAGTCCTCATTTATTCAACAAATATTTACCAAGAGCCTGCTATTTGTCAAGCACTGTGAGTCTCCTCTGGGACAGATGCAAAGCAAGTAAAATTGAGTGCTGAGAGCACTCAATTTTGGAAGTTAGATATCGAACAACACTGTAGCTCTAGAGAGTTTACTCGAACAACACTGTATCTCTAGAGAGTTTACGAAGTTTTCATATTAATGACACCACTTGATCTTCATCAGAATCTAATGGAGAAAGTGCTGCTATTACTTTCATTTCATATAGGAGAAAACAGAGGCTCAAAGGAAGGGGAGCCCTTGGTTTTACTATGGAAAACCTGGAGAGATCAAAACTGGGGTCCGGTCCCAACTCAGACCCTCACTAACAGCATGACCTTGAATGAGTTGAACCCTCCTTTGGGCAGCAATTTTGTCACTTTTGGAATGAGGAGTAAGGCTGAGTCATCTCCGGAGTCCTGTCTAGCCCCAACAATCTAGGGCTCTTTAAGGTTTTGTAGGGTGGAGGAGGGGAGCAGAGCCGCTGTCCCCACCCCCACCGCTGTGACCCTAAGCCCCCAGACATCAGAGCGTTAGGAAGTCCACACCTGGGCAGAGGAGGTAGGCAGGAGAGGGAGCCACAAGGATGACTCCTTCCTTTTGAAAAGAAACCCCACAGCCCCGCACGGTCCCCAACACCCGCAGAACTCCTGCCTCCGGACTTGCCCAGCGCCGCCGCCGATTGTCGGGCCGCGCTCACCTGCCACACCTGAGACCCAGACACCTACAGCTCTCCCAGGCCAGGCTCTGCTACTCGGTCTCACGCGCGAAACTTCACTCTCCTTCCCTCACCCCTCGCCGACCTCACTCACCTCCAGGTCCACCCAGACCATCCGCTGAGCCATGCTCTCCCCTGCCGCCATGGCTGCGCCACCTTGGCGGACACCGCGCACCCGGAACTGTCCGCGACTCCCACCTACACCTCGCAACAGCCTGGAGCTCAGGGAGCCGCCTAGCATCACCCGACACGAGCGGCCACGGCCCCAGGCTCGCAGCCGGCGCTGGCGCAGGCGCGATAGTCGCTAAACGTCGCAAACCCGCGGGGAGGCGCAGCAGCGGAAACCACAGGTCCCAGCATCCTGTGCGCCGGCTCGCTCTGAGCAGCCCGGCTTGGCTGCCGAATGGGATGATGGGACTTAGAGTCTCACCTGCTGTTGCCACCGGATCCCCACCCCCGCCACGTGTTTTTCGGATGTTACTGGACGCGCATGTTTTTCACTGCTAAGTTAGTTTGCTTCCAGGAGTTACTTCCTGAGTTTCAGTTAGTAGCGAGCTGCGCAATGGAAAAAGAATTCTTACTCTGGTTGATCGAAAAAGATAGATTTATCTATTTATGATTTTTTTTTCAAATATATCCTTCCTTTTTTACTTCTTTTTCCTCTTGTTTACTTACCTGGCCCTCTCTTCCACACACCGGGTATTTTTTTTACTCGGCACCGAAAGGCGGTGTGTTTTGCTTTTTTCAGGCTAGAAGACCACTTCCAGTATCATCAGATCATGTAGAAATCTTTAAAGGAGATGTCTGAAAGATCACTTAGCACGTATTAGGTGTTCAGAATTGGTTACTTCCCTTCATTTGGCAAAGGGTTATCCCTTATTTCTTATGGAATGTGGTCTGTGTTTCAGTTCAGCTATTAGGTGTCAGTGGTAATAATTTTCTACTCTAGCCTTAAAAGTTCTCATAGTTAAGTCTCATCCTGGTATAACAGATCTGTGGAGCAAACTACATTAAAATGAACTAAAACAGCTCTGTCTACTTTGTCGTCTGCTTTGGTTTTGATCAAAGTATCTTTTGACTAGGGGTGGTGTCTCATGCTGTAATCCCAGCACTTTGAGAGACCAAGGCAGGAGGATCGCTGAGGCCAGGAATTCCAGACCAGCCTAGACAATATAGCAAGACAAGACCCTGTCTCTACTAAAGATAAATAAGTAAGTAAAATAAAAATTAGCCCTGCAGGGTGGCGATGCCTGCAGTCCTGGCTACTCAAGGGCTGAGGGAGTGGGGGGTTGCGGGTGAGGATCGCCTGAGCCCAGGAGAACAGGTTACAGTGAGCTATGGTGGCTCCACTGCACTCCTGCCTGGGTGACAGAGCTAGACTCTCTCTAAAAAATAGAAAGAAAAAAAAATCTTTATTCTCTTCCAATCCAGGAGTGGAGGTGGCCACCACCAACCGGGGACCATGGGCTCAGGAGTGTCAGATTTCCTGAGTCTCTTAAATCTTGGCTATTCAGTAGCAAATTTGTGTGCAGAGTGCAACTTTGTCACAAATGTTGATTCAGCCTTCTCGATATATTTTGCCGAAAGCTATATTGCCACTAATTACACAGCTTGTAGTCCATCGTTTAGTAATGCCTACCTGGTGAGCTGGTTTTGTGGGAGAGAAAGTTTGTTGCCTTATCAGAGCTTTAAGGATACTGTAGTGTATTGGATTTCACCTTTTACTTCTTTGATGTACCCAACCCACCACCTCGCTAGGGCCCAGAGAAACTCTCCTTGAAGGTTCATCAAAATGTGTTAAAAGAGTTTTATTATGCACAATGTGTATGTAATGTAACTGCATTGCCTGATGAGTCACATTGTTTTGCTAATAGCTTTTTACTCATTTGTAGCCTACTTTATAAGAAATGGTATTTCTTCTTTAGTTTTTTCTCAGTTTTAAATTTGATTCATAGGAAGTAGAAGCAGTTAAAGTATAAAACTTTCATCAATTGGACTTTTCAGTATTCTCCATTCTCAAAGAACACCTTTTGTTTTCAACTTTACTACTGGAACATTGACTAGTTTTAAAATTACAAATTACAACTTCAACGATAGTGTTTATATTTAAAAACTTATATCCTGAAAATTTATGATCACAATTTTTAAATAATGGGTAGTTAAAATTATGTGTGGACATTTTGGAAACCAACTTTTATTCAAATATAGTGATGTACTTATAACAATAAACATAACTTTTAAGTAAATAGTGTTATAATGTAAGGAGATTTGTAGTTTGTTTTGTGTGCGAGATCATTGTACTGATAATCTTAAAGATTAATGTCCCAAAGTACAGTAATATATAAATCAAATTCACAAATCCAAACCAAGTATATAAGAGGGAGGACAGATACAAAAGTATGGGGCCCCAGAATCTGAAAGCAGCCTGATCCCACAATGGACTCAATCATTCTGTCCCTTTTCCTTTCTTAACTGGTTTTATTTCAAAGCCACATTACTCTGTTCAGAAACTTTGCTTTGTCAATTTTGTTGTGAATCTATAAAAACTACTTATGTTAATTAACATCAAGGACATAGTACCAAGAAATCTTGTTCTCTATAGGCTATCAGAAACTTTGCTGTTTGAAGTCATTTCAGTGAAAATGGAACATCTCTTGCCTAAAGAAGCTGAGTTTGTGGGTCACTTTGACACAGAAGAGCAGCTTCAATTTCCAACTCAGATGCAGAGATTCAGATAAAGGGTTTTCAGACACATTACACATTTATCCTAATTTTGTAGTTTTCAAGAAAACAATCTTCTGAATCTGCTTCTCAGCACTGCTGGTAATCACACTGTGATGTTTCTAACAGAATCTAAGACAATGTATCTATTTTTTTTTTTTAATCTTTCCCTCCACAAATAATAAGACAATGTTTCTAATAGGACATAGCCAAAGACACATAAACCCTCTCGTTTTTGAGAGATCACTGCTTTTTTACATATTTTTTATTTTTTTAATTGTGGTAAAATATACATAATATGAAATTTACCATTTTAACCGTTTTCCGTGTGCAGCATGGTGGTATTAGGTACATTCACACTGTTGTGCAACCATCATCACCATTCATCTCCAGAACTTTTTCATCTTCCCAAACTGAAACTTCATACCCATTAAACACGAACTTGCTATCTCCATCCACCCACCACCTCTGACCCCTGGCATTTCTGTCTCTATGAATTTGACTACTCTAGGTACCTTATGTAAGTAAATTCATGAAGTATTTGTCTCTTTGTATCTGGCTTATTTCACTTAGCGTAGTGTCTTCCAGTTTCATCCATATTGTAGTATATGTCAGAATTTCCTTCCTTTTGAAGGCTGAATGATATTCCATTATATGTATATACCACAATTATTTAACCATTCATCCATCCATGGACACTTGGATTGCTTCTACGCCTTATCTATTGTGAATATTTACATGGTTTTTAATTTTTTTTTTTATCGCTGCCTTCTTACCAGTGACTTCCCCAGCCCAGCTTTGTTCCTCCCACATCCTGAACAAAGATGGCTGTGATAATCAATCCAGAGCTGATCTCCACTCCCCTAGTTCCTCTTTAGAATCATCCCAAATACCATATTTTAAAAAGTCCTTCCCTACTTTCTCTTAGGAGAGGCCCCTGGTTCCTCTGTTGTTACAGCAAGTCAATAAACCTAACATTGTTACAATTATGTTCCTTGGGAGATTTATCTGATATACTTTGTCACCACTTTAATAGAGTCTACTTTAATAGAAAGTAGACTTTAATTTACAGAATACATTTATTTTTGCACTTTTATAGGACTAGCATAGAGTCATATAGTAATGGCGGTGGTACTAGTTAATAGTCACCAAAGTAAAGAGACTATCACATACCTATAAATTGTCCTACAGTTTATAAGGCATGTTTAAATAGGCAATAGGTACCCAATGGATACTTTACTGGTTGATAATGATATCTCTTCTCTTCCTGTTTTGTGGAACTTCATCTTGACAAATGATATCAGGGTATATTGCTGATAACTGATAACTGCTGTTTACTTCCCTCCAGTGGTCTGGGGAGGAATAAAGGATGATAAATCTTTTGCCTTTACCCTCTATGACTATAAAAATGCAGGATAAAAATAGCAGCCAAAATTGTAATCTCTAAAATGCACTTTGTACAAAATGGGCACTCTAAAGATTTTTATGAAATTTGAATTGCATTTTATTTCAGTTCAACAAACACTGAGTACTTAGTGTATATGAAACACTATGCTAGAATACAGAAATAAAAATACATTTATTACACTGGTATTCATTATACTTGACACTACAGGTATTTAAGAATTTAAGATTTTGGAGTTGTTTCTTTTACAGATAAGGAAACAGTCTTAATTTTCCCATCTGTAAACTAGATTGTATGCTGATTAAATAAAAACATATAGAACACTGAATATATAGTAGGTACTCATTTGATTTACTTCCGTAAGCAAATCAGGAGGTACAAAACAATATAAAAGAGATTGTGTCAATACCTTAAAGAAGCATAGAGTGCTGTAGGAATATAGGAAAGGGAATTCATTTTGACTGAAGAGATACAGGAGGATGAAATTGAGTTAGCTCCTGAAAGGAAAACTTTGACAACAAATATCGTGGGTAACAATATCCCAGATAAACAGAATGCCTTGGACCTAAGCAACTAGGATGATTATATCTTTAAGTATTAATAAAAGAGAATCCCAATGGAAATAACATGTTGCCGGAAGAACAGGTAAGAGTTGATGAGTTCAGTTTTGGAAAGGCTGAAATTGTGCTGGAAAACCCTCTGCTTGGAGGCAGCTAGCACAGAGGGACAGCTGTGTGGAGATATCCTGCAGGGAGCTGGAAAGAGGGCGGGGATAGAGACTTGAGCTTAGAAGTCATCTACATAGAGAAGATAGCTGAAGCTATGGGAGTGAAAATGATTGCAAGTTGTCTAAAAAGTACAGCTATAGGCCCGTCCCAACCTTGAGCATTTTATTGTTTGCAAATTTTTAAACCTAATCAGCACATCAAGGAGATTGTCAACGTAATTCGTACACATGGGCACATGTAGAACAAACTGGCGAGACAAGCCCACCTGAAGTCTAATTCTTGGAAGAGCAATGAGTGCCCTGGTAGAGAATCCAACTAAGGAAGCAGCATCCAGAAACAAAGAGCACAATGCAGCACAAAAGCTAAGTCGGAAGAAGGAAAAGATTAATTCTGACAGCACAGCAACTATCACATTAATTTTTCTCCTAGCTTAGTCCTTATTGGACTCCTGCCTAAGTCCTATGGAGAACAGAGAGGCTGCAGGTATTCTAAAAGAGCTTTTCAAGAAAAAGCATATATGATAATG